TTTAGTCATTCGTATTTCAATTTAAATAAAACTATATTCAATCGATTCTACACATATTCAAATACGAAGTGTACAAGATTTCTCAACTAGGGCTTACTTAAATATAGTAGAATAATTCATAAATAAAGAGATGCATCGCCAACTTTGTATGAAACAAGGATTCAATAAATGAAAACTCTTGACTTCGAAGCTGATAATCAGTACTAGAATGAACTGATCAGTACATTTTTGGAAAGTATTCAACTCTTCACTAGACATCATTTGTTCTCGATAAGTTCGTACTCATCTTTCAGCTTGATAATTCTGAAATTGATGGCGAAGAACTAACGACCATAATCGGAATTTCGACCTTGCTTAAGGATCTCAACAGATAGCATAGTTCAAATTCATTATATTAGATGTAATAGAAATTGATTTTTAGTTTTCATTGTCATTTTATGATGATGAATTTGAACTATGCCGTCTGATGAGACTCTTAAATAAGGTCAAAATTGCAATCTTGGTTGCTAGTTCTTTCCTAGTATATTTAGATATATGGCACCGCACAATATATTTATCTTGATTTCAACAAAAACTTTATTATCATCTTCTTTAATAATGGTAATTATCGAAGAAATAATTATTTGTAAGATATCATCATTCGTTCTTGCACCGGTATATTAGCACCACGGAGATTCAGTCTAACTTCTTCCCAAAATGTTGCTGAATTCTTGTCAGAAACTGAGAAAGTAGGTGTTTGCCTTTCGATATTAAGATATGGTCATTCTTTGTCTTTTTATTTTTTGATCGATCCAAACTTGAATAATAGATGTTTTTTCTAAATTTCTTGTTATTGAATATGTTGATGGTAAGCGATTTTGTAACCAATAGATAGGATCTAATTCTAGATTGTGAGTCTCAACATATAGTTGTTGATCATCCTCACACTGAAAGATCAATGATCGAATATTAGAAACATTTTGAATAAGGTTGAGAACACTTCTTCGATTTTTCATTCTAACTGAAATAACTTCACATTGCAATACCAGAGGTGAACTGATCAATTTGGCAGAATCGTCAATGGTAAGATGATACCAATTTTTGACTTGTGTATCAATCAAATCAAGTCGACGAATCGATTTACTTCTTAATTGAAATAGTCCAGTGTAGAATCTATGAACAGCATTGACTTTCAACGAATAAAGACGAGGTGCATAGTCAAGTATTGTTTGTAATTGATAATAATCATATGAATTTCTTAATTTTACATTAAGTGAAATTAGTTGATTCAGTTTTAAATTATATGAATACAATTCATTCTTCAATGGAAGTTCAATGTCCATATGACGAATGTTAGGAAAGCAACCAAAAAAAGGTGTAAAATTATTGAACCAACTATTTTCAAGATTATTGTAACTAAAGAATCGTACACATTTATATTTACAATATATTGCTTTATCAATGCAAGTCGATTTAAAATGATACTCATCTGAATAATTAAATGTATTAAAAACATATGGTAACGTATAAAGAGTAATACATCTATTGAAATCTGATGGATTCCAATGACATTCAACAAACCATTGATGTTCTACAAGCCAAAATTCACTTCGAAAACTATTGAGTAATTCATCAATTTGTTCGTGTATGTTATTGTAATCAGCAAATTTGAAATCCATTTTTAATTGAAATATTTTGAGTTTAGGTAAATAATGAATAATAATTTGTTCCCATGTATATCCATTTAAATAAATTCCTGATGTATCAATTGTTAAGTAACATAGATTTGGCATCTTTTGAAAAACGTTATTCATCGATTGGAAAGAACCTCGAAATGAGAGTTTCAATGAAATAATTGATGCAATAACAAACTCTAATTGTTCATCCACAGAAGATAAGTCAACAGTTGTACAAAGTCGTTGTAGATGAGGTGTACATTTGAATAGATTTGATAGAGCATGTAAATTACATGTAATTTTTTCCATAGAAAGATTTTCAATGGATGATGAAACTGTTAAAATTTCAGAAAATCTTATTGAAATCGTTTGAATACTACTTAAATTACAATGAGTAAGATTTGGTATGTTGCAAATGTTTTTGAATAAGACAAAACCAGCATCATCTCTCCACCAACTAACAGAACAATAAATCATCATGAAATAAGTGAGATAATGAAGATGTTGTAATTGAGATGTTATTTGAATTAATGTATTAAGAGAATGAATTTTGTACAATGAAAGTGATTGTAAATGAATAAATCGATCAAGAGTAAAACCACGAGTAAGAAGAAGTTCTGGTAAATTAGGTGTTTCCTCATTCGAAAGGCGAATAGAAGTAATTTTATCAATTATTAATGGAAGATATTTTTGACAAACAAGATCAAAATGTTCTTTCGATATAGACTGAAAATTAAGCTGATGAATACGAAAATGAATATAAACAAGTTGATTAAAATGATGATTAAGACCAAAAAAAGCATGAAGAAGATGATAAATGTCGAAGAATTCAAATAGATCAAGTAATAATTCATTTGCCAACGATTCGAACTGCATCATTTTTTTTTCTTTCGTATAAATCTAAATGGCTGGCTCGAACATCTTTCTTTTAGAAAAAAAACTACGTCTCATTCCTCTCAGTTCACTAAGTATAACACGTGTCATATGGAGAAAAAAAAATTATTTCTTTTTATTTCTTTTCGGTTATCTACACAAAGAAGTGACTCATAATTATTCGTGAGAAACAACAAATAATATTGAGTCCATAGTTCATATTTTACCTATAATTACTATGAGATCAAACAAATTCTCAATAGATGTCTCTTGTTATCGAATAGGTGTTCGTGAAATTTAATCATTATATTTTAATTCTTTTTCTTTTTGTTTCATCGTTTTGTTGATTATATGAAAATCACTGACATTAATTTTGTACATAGATGCTCTGCTGTTATTATGCTATTTAATATCGTGAAAAAATCGATAATAGTCTTTCATTTAACAACCTTCTTTCAGCATTAACTGAACAGAATGAGATCAACTAGATCAAGAAAATTTTATTAAACTCGAACAAATAAATATATTTGAGCAATCATATGATTATCTAAGATTTCTTTTTCTGCTTTTTGTTTTGTTTAACTGATCAGAGAAATATTTCAGAAGAAGTAGTAAGAGGCGTAATCTTTCTTTCTTTTTCTATGTGCACAATTGCAACAATATTCTTAAGCACTATCTTTTAGATCCAATAATAAAGCTGTTTTGCGATTCAAAGCAAAATACGACAATATGCTATATTTTAAATTTTTATTAGAAATACAATATGAAAGATGATAAACTTTTCTTCATTCATCATTTTGTAGAAATTTTAGGTTGTATATACTGACAAGCCATAGCAATCTGAATGATTTTTATTGAAAGCATACTCAGATAAAAACAATTTTTCAAGATGTAATACTAGTGTATGGATCTCAATTCGGTGCCAGAATAAGAACCAGCAGCCATGGTCATGATTTTGGCCTCGTTTAAGAGTTACATCGAACTATGCCATCTGATAAGATGCTTAAGCAAGGTTGGAATCGCGATCATGGCTGCTAGTCTTTATTGTATGAGTACCGAAAGAGAAATTTGGGAGGCGCAATTTACGAAGCATAAACTGAGCAAGAACGAAAAACATTTTACATTTTCTCTTTAAGCAGAAGATGATAGAAATCATCCAAAAAGAATGGCATGTCGAATAAAAACTCATATTGCTCCTGAAAGATCAAATTTTGGGCTATCTTATTATGCGATTATCTCCATTTCGAATGTTTTGATGAAAACTGACTTCTTTGAAGGGGAAGGTCTTAACCTTTCTGTATTTATTTGACCAAAAAGCAGTTTTACAACCCAGTTATATGCCTAATTGGTTAAGAAGAAAAATGCATTTTTAATGCTCGTACATCGAAATTATTATGCTACTCGATGACAAAAACCGATTATCGAGAGTTATGATTGACATTTGTAGTGTTCTTTAAAGTCGGTATAATCGTCAATTGAAATCGTTTGAAATAGCGTTCCTCTGAACATTGAACAATCTGCTGCGCTTTTTCACGAATCACTCCATCTTTACTATCGCTAGTCAGAACACCATAGAGTCTATCATAGTCGACACCCTGCAAATATTCCATGATCCATCTTACTTTTCTTTCATTGAGTGGAATGTAGTTTGGGAAAGCTGTGCATGATTGTGACTTGTTTCGAATCCATGCAAATGTGAGGCTCATCGGCACTTAATAGTACGTCATTGTGAGATGTTCCTGCCGGGTAATATAATATTTGTGAACCTTCAAAGTATCTACCTGTGTGAATAAGTTTCAATTTTCCATCGAATAAATCTTTCATAAAACAAGTGACTACAATCCACCATACTGGCAAAAAAGATGTAGATGACAGATAGCAATTGCAGTGAGATCACCTAATCTATTGATATAATCTCAGAGAATATTGCCGTGTAATGTTTGTACTAAAAAGGCACATTGTCCAATTCCAAATCGTGGCTCGGTACGAATTGAATATAATCCAGTTTCCTCACGCTTAATTTGATTTTCATATTCGCTCAACATTTTCTCCCACGTCGTCCATTCTTGACCGCTGTTACCGATATATTGTCGATTACCTTCACAAATCAAACAATACGAAGGTTGTGATGATGCAAATGGATATTGAAGACCACAGATCACACGTAAGTAACAAGCCATCAAGAAAATTCACTAGTGTCTGAAAAAGAACAGAACCCTTGAGTTAATCATATTTTATAGGCATTTTTGCATCTACATATTTCTAAATCGTTTTCACTGCAGAATCTATCAATAAAACACAGCTCGATGGGTGTGGATGTGGATATTATTATCTTCCTCACACCCACACCCTCAAAGGCAATTACATTGAAAATCGGCATAGCAACAAATAGGAGCACTGCTATGTGAATGTTGAATTCGTGTTGAAATTGTATTTCTATTTAACAAAAATAAAAAAGAAAATTGTGATCTTCTTCATTTTATTTCATAAATGATTTTCAATTCGAATTTTATTTCAATTAACGAATCCACAATCGAATTATTTCACTTCGAGATATATCTTCGACAAAAAAAGGTGAAAAATGAGATACCATCCATTGAACAAGTTCATTCATATTTGGTCTATCGTTATTCGACTGATCAAGTTCACATTCGACTTTCAATGTACACAAATTGGGCATATGTTCAATTAAATCAAATATATGTTTTCGATGATCGAGAACAATGGATAAAACTTGGCATTGACTGTCAAATGTTGATGTAAGAAATTCAATACATTGTTGTTGGTTAAAACATCGATCTCGACTTGGATAGTGTGAACTTTGAAGATCGAGTTGACGAATTAATTTATTTTTAATGTAAAATGGTATTTCTTGAACTATTGATGAATTCCATTCACCTATGGTTAATGAATACAAATTTGTCATTCGATCAAAATATGGAAGAATTGAAAACAATTGATCACTAAATGGAAGTATAAGATCAAGATGTTGAATGTTATGAAATAGAATATTTGATAGAAATGAATTATTCAATGGTGAAAAATAGTAATTTAATTTTATTACTCAATCATATGATTGATAGTCAGTTTCCGATGAACATATGTTGATTTCATTCGAGTAATAGAATTGTCACAATAAACTGCAAAAAAAATCAAAATAATATGGAAGAGTATAAACAAATAAATATGTATTTTCATCATTTGTATTCCATTGAATACGAACAAATGTTTTTTGTTCAATGAGCCAAAATGGAGTTTGATATGAGAGAAGAATTCGATCAATATCAAAATGTTCATCATTTGAATGATCAATATAATAATGCATTTGAAATCGAAATTGTTTCAATTGAGATAAATAACCAACCATAATTTCTTCCCATTGATAACCATCGAGATTAATATGTTCACTAATGATTGTTAAATGAATTAAATTCGGTAAATTCTTGATAAGATTTTTCATCATAGTATCTGATCGAATAATATGAAGTTTTAATGAAAGAACAGAAAAAATAGGTGATGAAAATAATTTATCATTTGAAGAATCATCAATACAAACATTTAAATAACAAAGATTCGGTGTTGATCGAAATAATCGAATTAATTCTGTAAAATTTAATTTGACATGTTTAATCGAAAGATATTCATTAGATTTTGATCGATATCGAGCAATTTGAAAACGATCATTGGAAAAAGAAGAAGTAGCTTGTCTTGGACCTTAATTTTCACCCGACTTTTGGATCGGATCTCAATACCATTCGGATTTTTGGTTCGAGGAATATTTATTGATTTTCATAAAACCTTTTATTTTATTAATTAGTGGCGCACTGCATCGTGCCGAGCAGTATGTCGTAGTGTTGAGCAGGACATCATCCTGCTGAGAGACACGTCGTCCTGCTCAGCACTATGTTGTCTTGCTCAACACGCTGTTCTCCTGATATGCTCTGTATCACCCTATTGAGCGGTACGTCGTCCTGCTCAATACACTTTCATCCTGCTCAGCACTACCCAGGGTGTGGGTGTGGGTGTAAAGACATTTTGTGCTTGCACTCACACCCGCACCCTGTTTTAAACCTTGTCAAGATCTTGAAATTTTGTGGCTAAACATTTTTTTTTCTAGGATTTTGTCGTTTTCTGAGAACAAATAACAAATTCGTGCAAGATCCGTGTCGAATTTGCTCAATATCTGGCAGGAAACCTACAAAGATTTCTGCTAGAGAAGCGAAATTTTTATTTTTCTAATTAATTTTTTGTCTTTCAATATCATTACAAAGTAAGCGAGTAAAAGTGGAATCATTTTGGCCGCTATTTGTTCTCAAGAGTTTTACAGTAGTAAAAAAAAAAAGGGTACACATGCTTTCAAGTATTTTTCATAACATAACTTACAAAAGTTAGCACGTAATCTTCTGGGAGGAAGCAATAGAGAATATTTTAGAATCTTTCTTCAGTATCTGTATTACAGGCGTCGTCCTCATATCTTTCCATTCTCTTCTTATTTTCCTTTCCTATATGTGATTGACTGTTTATTTGACTTCAATCCAGCAAAAAATTACTTGGAATTGAAAGGATTAAAGCTATCTTCTCGTGTTTCACATTTTAATCCCTTAGAAATTGTTCTGAAAGCCTTTTTGAAGGACATTAAAGTGCGCAGTATCAAGGGAAAATGGCACGAGAAAAGGACGATATCAATTATAAACGCAATTTGATCGCATCACCTGCCCACAAACTGCACCAATTGATGCGTCCCTATATTAACTGGTCCCCATGGATCGAATCGATACACTTCTATTCTCATAATTCTGTAAGATGAATATTTTCTTATTCGCACTTCTTCTGATCATCTCGGTTACCATGTGTGTTGCTGAATACACGGGCAATGCTTGCGGAGGCATCTCACCTGTAACTCGTTGGAGAAGAACGGAACGAGACGATCAAATTCGAATGGATATCGACACGAGTAGCTGTCGTTTTCAATACACACCTCTCTATTTCACAAGCATTGCGGGCGGTGTAGGCCATTATCTACTTACTGGTATCAGCGCTATCTATGAACCAACTAGCTATGGCTTCACTATTTATGTCAGCTCGACAGACGGTGCAACAGCCAACACACTCATGGCACGGTCAGCTCAGTGGAGAGTGCAATGGGTCGGTCTTCAACAATAGACGACAGCAGAATTGCTTTTTTGCTTGCACCTGAATAAAGAAGAGTGATGAATTGTGTGAGAATACACTCTTTTTAATCGTTAAAGTGTGAAATCGATATGAGAAACAGAAGAAAAATTGTGACAAGTTTCATTAGAAAACCAAAAAACATATCACATCGACGGCGAGAGATCGAATTTTATTGTTTTTCGACTTAGCTGACGATTCAATGTAAGACGTTAAAATGATTGTCAATCTAAAATACTACACGTATTCAAATTTTTGAAGAGAAAAGTTATGAAATTCGTTTCTTTTGCTAGGAGAATGACGGATGAAGATGAAGATAATGATGGGTGATGAGAATGAGGATGGCGGTACTGTTCTTATTTTAAGAATGTGGAATTTTCGTACACTTCTACTTTGTTCAAGAGTTATATTTCTTTTTGGAATAAATGAAATAATTGGAATATTGAGAAGTTTAGAGTGGTTGGAATAATTGGATTAAGCAGAGTTCTAGAGCAATTGAAATTACAGAAATAATCACAATTATCAGATTCTGCAATAATCAGAACTAAAGCAATAATAAGAATTTGCGGATAATCGGAACCAAAAGAATGATGAGGAGAGACCGCAGAATGCTTCCCAAGCAGAATTCAGAATTTAAAAATCCAATCGGTAAACAATGGATTAGTCCTCTAAGAAAAACTCCCACTAGCGAATAAACTACTAATCACTACACTCCGAATTTAACCAGAATTCTGTTACCACTAAAAGAATATAAACTCTGATTAGGCATAGTAGAATGGTATAGCTCCAAGAGAAAACAAAAATTCTTGTCAGGAATACCAAAGTATCAGCAGAATCGAAAACAAAATTCTGCTACCGCTAACAGAATATAAAGTCTGAATAGGCATACTAGAATGGTATATACCCAAGAGAAAAGAAAAATTGGGTCTGGGGTGTGAATGTGGGTGTGGGTATGACACAGAGGCTAGCTATACTCAAATCCACACATCCCAGACTAACACCCGCACTAACACCCTTATTTTTGTTACATAATCAACAAAAAAAATAACACAAGGAAAGCAAAAAGAAACAGATGATGTAAATGTCGTTAGTGGATTTCGTTCTTCATCTGTTCTATTCAACTGAATTTTCTTAATCGTTTATTTGAGCTTGTCAAATGAATAACGAGCGAATCGAACAACTCTGTCTAATCAAACTTTTGGAATTGATTTTTGAAGAGTGTATACTTTATTCAATGTAAAATTTAGAGTACACTGTTACGAATAAATAAAACGACCATTTTCATCAGAACTATCCTTTGACAGACATAGAAATTAAAATCATGCCGAGGTAGATTTTAATAGAAATTCACTTCTGAACTTTTAGCACGTGCTATTGAGTTGAAAAAGTCTCAAATAAAGCATCGTGAATTGTAGTTTTGAATAATAAAAATAGAACAAAAAAGGCTTTTTTTGTAGGAACAGTCTTTCACATTTATGCCAGTAATCTAGTTCATGTTAAGCGAGACGCTGAATTGAAACCAGCCTCGACCTGGTGATTTAGTTCTTGTTCCAAGTGTCAAGTTAATTCGTTTACAAGCTTCATATTTTTGTGTTGCATATTCATTGAATATCTGAAACATCGTTTGTTTGCTTTTTAACCGACAGATAATGTATATATCAATATCAACCTGCTGTAATGCCTTCAAATTTTGAAACATTGGGTTCCAATAATAAGTGCTTATCCAGTCATCATGAGTTTGTTCGCACCCTTTGACATTCAGTTCAACTAACAAAGGTAAGCAGGACAATATTTTGGTTAGTCTGCATATAAGCCAAGTGTTAAAATTCAGATTGAGACAACGAACCAGATAGTGTGGCTCAACACATAGATGGTCTTCCCCGCACAACTTACAATTGAGTTGACGAATTTTTCGACCACGGAAGTCATCGGACACATGAATCAGTTTTACAGAAGGAAAGGATAATTTGACTGTTGATGTTGAGTATGAGGAATATGGACGAGATTTCTCACTCTTCGACAGAATAATTCGTCGAATAGAAAGATGATATAAAGAAAATTCGATCATTTTATGTCCAATTGAAGTCAGCTTAGAACCAACTGATGATAGAGTGAAGGGTGTGAGTATTAGTCTTCTCCTTCATATATCCACACCCACCCACCCAGTTATGTACTAAAACTATCCAATATAATTAAAATTTAGTTTTATTCATAAATGGTAGAATTCGAGTACCATCTATATACATCTGTTTAATACGAAAAACTCTTGAATATAAAAATGCAATAAAAACAAACAAACTTCAATCCTAAGAAAAAAAATGATATAGAAAGCTACAAAATAACACCGTTGTTTTAAATTTTCATAATATAAGTAAGATGTAAGTAATTCGAAACTTGACTACATTTTTTCTTTGATGTTTTTCCATTATCCGATAAAACTTATCGAGCTCTATTAAAAAAATTTTTAAACCCTTGTTTGAGATATAATTTAGAAAAAAAATTATGTAAAAAGTGTACGAAAATACCTTTTTTTTTACATAGAAAAACATTGTCCATTTCTTATATAGAAAAGTCTAAAAATGTGTATCGAACCATTTAAAAATATCAAAGAAAGAAGGTTACTCGAGTTTTAAATTACTCGTATCTTACTCACATTACTAAAATTTAAAACAGCATTACCATTTTGGCAGTTTTTTATATCATTTTTTCCTTAGCATTGAAGTTTGTTTGTTTTTATTGTATTTTATATTCAAGAGTTTTTCAAATTAAACAGATATATATATATAGATAATATTCAAATTCTACTATCTATTGATAAAAAGAAATTTTAATTATATTGGATAGTTTTAATACTTAATTCGAAACAAAAAAATGAGATGAGACTATGAAGGTGCAACACATTTTATAAGGTTAGCAGAACTATGAATTAAAATTAAAACTACTATAAGTGATCAAATATTTTCGATCGTTAATAACTTTGTTGCATCAATTTTTTGTGCAGTAGTTAATTTCTTTTCATATTAGAAACCTTCTACGACTTCTAATGGATCTTATAAACTGTGATCGAACTTAGTAGGGAAAAATCAAAAACTTAGCTGAAGAGACTCTTAAAAATGAGACTTCTAATAAAGGAGGAAATTTATTCTTTTTTTCTGAATAGAATTCCACCATATGTCGAAAAATAATCTTCGTGATTCTTCAGCTTGTATTTCACATGCTTCTGCTTGATATAGAATTTTATTTATATTAATATTTTCATATAATTCTAGTTCATCAGTACGTGTTTGTTGTATCCATTCATTAAATTCACTAAATGTTGCTTCTGGATGAAATTGTACACAATATGCTGAACCAAATCGAAAAGCGGCTATATAATTATTTGTTGTATAAGCTAGGATAGTTGCATTCGGTGGTAAATCGAATGAATCTCTGTGATGCATAATAAATAATGATCTATTTTGTTGTTTTTCAAATACTTTCGACAGAATTAGATCATATTTTCCTTCGGCCGTAAGTTCATATTAAGCATAGCCAAGTTCATAATCATACTTTCCTAAATGACTATGTCCACCAATAACATCAGCGAGTAATGGTGCTCTGAGACATATGCCAAGAATAGGTGTATTAAGAGCAAGTTGAGCAGCAAGAAATGATTTTTCCCATTTTAAATATGGATAAATATCATCTTCATATGTACTTTGTGGTCCATCAAGAATAACAATAACTGAATAATCATTTGTATTATTATTTGGTAATTGTGATTGATATGTGGGATCAAAAATAGAAAGAATTTTGAATGAAGCATTATGTTCAGAGAAGAATTTCGTTAAATAAGGAGAACAAACACTTAATGAATGCTGAATAATCAGTACTTTCTCTTACATAATCTTGAATATTATCAAAATATAGAACTAATGAGCAAGATACGAAAAATAATGGACACATGATACATGTCAATATTTCATTCTACAATATGAACTTGCAAATCTATCTAAATGAAAACATTCTGAAACTCTCGAAAGGGTTTTCATCATATCTTTATCCTCCCCTTATATACGCAAGCTAAATAGCAATAAGTTTGGAGATAATATCTGATTTAAGAAACTGAAAGTTCCCGGTAAACTAACTAGCCAGACTTATACGACATGATTCTTGCATAATATTCACTGAATGTAGTAGATAAGTTAGTTTTATTTAAACGGTAACCGTGTCTACTTTTAAAACTGATAAAAAAATCGAATCATGCTTCTAATATTGATTATATATTTGCTATGAGAGATGTTTAAATTCTAAAAAAAATCAACCGAATAGACTATAAAGAGTTTTAACAAATATATAACAGTTTTTTTAAATAATTATGAAAGCATTGAAATATTTTATAACATACGAACTCATATTCTTCATACCGTGCAACTCGTTTTTTCCATTCTTAAATTAACCTACAGCCTTTTGTGCGTGATCGCTGAGATCTGTTATGGTATTCTGTGGTGCTAAGTGTCTACAATGGGTAAGTGGAAGCCGTAAAGACTCGAACTTGAAACTTACACCCACTATTTTCAATGAAAATATTTGAAATTTCCACAAAATAATGAAAATGATCATAATGCTAGCAATCAATAAATATCACAGTGATCATCATAAAACATACAACAAGTCGACCATAGTCAAGATATCACACAACCATCGAAGAGGACAAAGCAAACTAATGAATGATAGTTATCAGTTTAGCGTCAATGAGTGCTATCTGTTGACACTAAAAAATTTTAAAGTTTATATTTTGAATGTGAAGTGCGTAAGAAAGAAAAGCAGATTTTGGCATCTAGAGTCTCTAGAATCTTATTAAATCTTTTAGAATCTTACAAAATCCTTCTAAGACTTGCAAAATCTTGAAAATACTTAGAATTAGACATGTTACAGTATCAATACAGTAGTGATGTGTTGGTGTCGAATGTCATTATTCATAAAGTTTAACTGAAGATAATCCTGGTCGTAGAGTCTAAATCTTGAGTTGGTCTTTCAAAATTTTGAGCTTGATTTTTCTCACTAAAGAAAGAACACTTCATGGAAATAAAAATTTTTTGTAGGCTTCAACCGATGGTTGCTGGAGCCACCGAGCAATGCAAATCTGAAGTTGGTTTCTCGAAATTTTGAATTTGACTTTTTTAACTATTGAAAGGAATTTTTAAAATAATTATTTTGTATCA